CCATATGGAATAAGGTCACGCATTTTGTGAAGTTTTTGCATGCATTCCTTAACCGTAGATAATGTTGGTGTAACAGTGTTGTGTAGTGTCTTGCACAACCCTGATAGTTATTTATCCAATCGTTCTCCCCTACTCACTTTTTAACATTGCTTTGAAGATATAGACCCATCACATCTGTGATGTATCTGACCATCTGTGTCACTACCTTTCTCTCTTATTGGTCCAAATCTATCGGGAATTTGACTTTCACAAGGTGTGTCCAATTCTAAATCATGATAGTCACCACCACTAGCTGTAGGAACAAATGCAGGGTGGATTCCTTGAGAAGGAGCCCATGAATGCTCCCCGATTGCGCTTATACCGTCAAAAACTCTATTTAACATGTCAGTGAATGGAAGTGATTTCCTATGAAATTCCTTGCAATCAGGGTTTTTCTGTAATAAAGGAAATAATCATGACCATAAATTTAAACAATTAACACTTACAATATTTAAATTGACCTAATTAGATGTTATCTCAACAAATATATTTCATGTCTGGTCATCACACAAGACACCTCCTGTTATAAGGTCAATAGTCACTCTAGTATGATTAGTCAATTTGTATCATGACTTCCATGCATCCTTAGTAATAGCAAAGTGATTCTTCAATTATTTTTGGTCATACATAACATTTTCCTTTACCACAAACTCATCTATAATATTCTTTCAACCTCACTTGTTAAAACTAGTAGTATGTCGATTCCTTTTATCCACCTCTTTAACACACAACTCAAAAAAAGTCTTATATCTCTCCACAGTCCAGTTTGTTTTGTGTTTGTCATTCTTAGAACTACTAGAAGTCATCCAAAATGTAATCCAAGCGTAATCCAATGAAGACAGAAATAAACTGTACAACTAAACATATTGAGTTTGAAATTTGACAGCTCCCTTGTGGTTAGCCTGTGAAAGATTTATCCTTCATAAATTTTTTACACCGAACGTATATAGTCTGCTTTTGATCGAATCGAAAAAAAATAGTATTTTTTAGAGGAAAAATAAAGTATGTACCTCTAAAATTGTATTATTTCAATTTGAATCACCTTGTGCCAATAAAAAAAAAAAGAGAATTATATGTAAATCCCTTAAAATTTGTCACATAATTATTTAGACTCCTTGACATTTAAAATATTATACACAAATCCCCTAAAGTTTGTACGCGCGTAACACTTAGACTCCTGCTGTAAATATATCTATTAATAAATTACACTCAGACCCCCTAAAATTTATAAACATATATTATTTAGACTCTTTAAGTTTAAAATGTTATATTTTGACAAAAAATACTTTAATCAAAGATAAAATATCAAACATTTTAAATTTTACAATTAAAATTCATGTTCTATTGTATCATTTATTGAAATAAAATCAAAAATAAAAATTTATTTTTCTAACAAAATCATAATTAATATACAATTATATTGTCTATTAAATTTTAATTTGGCCGTTTAGATGACCAAATTAAAATTTCAAGCTACCCTAATTAAAGCGAAAAGATATTGTGTATATTATAATTTGACCACTTGTGTAATTGTTTAGTTTTATTTCAATAGATTGTATAATTATATAATAACTATGATTTTTTTTTACAATTGGATTTTTATTTTTGATTTTTTTTTGTTTTATTCAAATAGATAATATAATTGTATACTAATTATGATTTTTAAGAAAAGAATTAAAAATTTTATTTTTATTTCAATAAATGATATAATATAACATAAATTTTGTTTGTAAAATTTAAAATATTTGATATTGTATCTTTGATTTGAGTATTTTTAGTTTAAGTATAATATTTTGAATTTAAAGATTTTAAGTATTATACATCTACAAACTTCAAGGGGTCTAAATATAATTTATTAACGGATATATTTATAGTAGAAGTCTAAGTATTACGTGCGTATAAATTTGAGGGAGTTTGTGTGTAATATTTTAAATGTCAAGAGATTTAAGTGATTAAGAGAAATTTGAGTGTAATTCTTCCTAAAAAAAATGATAGCTAAAATTGACCAACCACAATGGTTCCAAGTGTCTCACGCCACCAATTTAAAAGGAGTAGGCTACGGTAAATTCCACAAGTTTTTCGTTACCATACAAAGATTTATCACATTTGTGGTAACTTTTACCACATTATTGTGCTACCCCAAAAAAATGGTAAAAATATTTATTACAACAATGGTAAAAATATTCATAAATGTTGTAAATCAGCCATAAAAGTGATAATTTTTTTTTTATATTTAAGAAACATAGTAAAAATAGTTATTACAAATGTAGTAAAAATACTCACAATAATAAGAAAAGTACCCATAAAAATAGTAAATCAACCACAAAAATGGTAAATATTTTGGTCATAAAATGGCCTATAAAAGTTGTAAAAATATCATTTGAAATAGTAAATTTTAGAGGTATGATACTGAAATTTTTTTGACTGTATCATAGTCAAGTCCATTTAAAAAAGGTCTCTGAAGCCACTTTTATCCCTGGATTTTTTTATTAGCGGCATTATATACCTCAGTTTATCAATTTTATTATTTCAATCCCTCAAATTTCTGAAAACTAACTCTAGACTCTAGTCAAATGAGACGCACATACGCACTTCAGATAATTAATTTAAACTGAGGACTAGATTAAGATTGTTTGTCGAACACGTGTGAACCGAGTTCGAGTTGAGTTTGAAAAGCTTATTTTTTAATTGAGTTAAAAAAATTATTCAACTTCGGCTCGTAACAAGCCGAGCTTGAATTAGCCAAAAGCAAGTCGAGCTCGAGCTGAGTTCAAGTATTTGCACATAAATGAGTCGAGCCTGTCAAGTTTTAGTCGAGATTATAAGGCTTGTTTTCTCAACAAACCTAAAAATTTGTTCAAATTCAAGTTCGTTTAGAAAATGAACCGAGCCTGAACGAGCCGAACTCAAGCCAAGCTCGAGTAGCTCAGTTTGATTAACAACCTTAGACTAGACTACAATATTTAAGAAAGAATATTGGTACTATATCTCCAGATTTTACTATTTTAATTGATATTTTTATAAGTTTTATGAGTTATTTTATAATCAACAAATTTATCATTTTTGTGAGTAATTCATCATATTTGTGGGTGTTTTTATTATTATTGTAGGTATTTTTATCACTGTTGTAATAATTATTTTTCTAACTTTTCTTCAATATTAAAAAAATTTCACTTTTATGGCTGATTTACTATATTTGTGAGTTTTTTTTATCACTGTTGTGAGTATTTTACTATTGTTGTGATTTGTGATAACTATTTTTATAACTAGGGATGTTAAAATATGACACAATATCTGTTAACACGATACGAATACGACATGAAATTAGATGGTTTAAGTCTTTTTTAATCTATTTGTTTTGTAAATGATTAAACTCAATATGACATGATTAATAAACAAATCAGATATAAATGAAATCAATTAAAAGAAATATACGATACAACTTATGTATGTATTGATTATGCATGATTCATACATGACACGATTAATTAAACATGAATTAATAAATGAATCAAATATAAGTAAAATTCTTTTTGACATGAACCCGGTAAAATTCGACACGAATTCGTCTCACCTGACGCAGTTGATAGGTCTAACCACAATAATGATAAAAATACTCACAAACTATTAAAAATATCCACAAATACGATAAAAGTCAGTATTTTTTTCCACATAGCCAACTCCTTAAACTGATTTTTATTAAACTAAAGTGAAAAATAAGTCAAAGAAAATAAAGTGATTCATTTAAAAGAATGAGGGCTAAAGCCTAAACTGAGATAAATTATTGGGGGTAAAAAATGGTGAAATAGGGCTCCTGTTTTTATCACGAAGGTGATTATATATGATATGATTGGGTGATTGTGAATTTTAATAGGACTTATTTGCTAATTTATTTACCAATTAATAAATTGTTATATCACACGACACTCTTACCATAGTATAACGATTATACATTATATTTTTCCTAAATTGACACACGAGGTTCTTATGATTGAAAATAAAGATTTATATTTAACTATAAATTGTTAAGGTGTTCGAGGTTGTACTTTCTTTGGCCTCGGGGGGGCGAACCGCGGTGTTGACAATTATTTTATTGATGTTTAGAATTAGATTGTTATTACAAAAACATATATTTTGAAATTACCCAAACTAGCACGAATAATCTCACGGGTGATTTATTTGTACTCAAATACATTTTTAATTTTTTTTTATATATTCAATAATAATTATTTTTTATCTTATACCCTCAATATTATAAAATGACTGCAAAGTAACCCCCATACTAAATTCCATTCTCATTTATGTCAAATCTAACAGCATTTAGTGTGTGTGGCGGGGGGCGGGGGGGGGGGGGGCACATAACATATTTGATAAAAATTATAACGAAAGTTAGTGCGAGGGGTGTTAAAATATGATAAAACTAACACTTATATGAACATAACACGAAATTAAAGGATTTAGTTTATATCCTTGAGCCATCTATTTTGTAAACAATTATATTCGGCATGACATAATTAATAAACGAACTAAGTATTTTTTTTTTTTTGGGAAATAGGAGGGGGACTTGAACCTTTGACTTCAAGAAGTTAAAACCTTCACAAGATAAGAAATACCATTTAAGTGAAGTCAATTAAAAGAAAAACATAATACCACCATCAATTATATACGATTCATATAAAATATAAATTCGAAATAACGTAATTCATTATGAATCAATAAATTAATTGGATACGAGTGGAGTATTTTTTAATATAAACTCACTGAGATATGACATTGATCTATTTCACTTGACACGGTTGACAGATCTAATTAATATAAGGGCGATATTATAACTATTTTATAATTTTGATGGTTAAATATAAATAAATTAATCATCAAAAGTACAAATTAAAAATTTTAAAATCTATCGAGGCGTGATTCGCCCCATTAAAAAAACCCTTTCTCGCCACTAATGTGCCTCTCTTTCCTCGATTCTCTCGACGCCTTTTGCCTCCACTGTTTGGTTCCTGAGCGAAAGGCGGAGGCTCTAGCGCCAAACCCTTCACACAGACACACATCGCCACAAAATCGAAGCTCATAAGGTATAATTTACAATCCAATGTCTTATAGATCTGTTCATTTATAGTTCTGATTTGGATATATAGCTCGAAAAAAATCGTTTGAGAATTGGTTTGTACGTGAATCAATCATTTCTGAATCGATCTGTTCATTTCTTCACAAGAACACACAAATCTAAACACTATTCATGTATGAACTTCGTTGTTGATCGGTAGTTTCTTTGATCTATCGCTTGATGTATTGTTCTGAAATTGTCTTTTTAAATTAGAGGGTGTGGAAGTTTCATGAACTGTGCTTTTTGAAACCATTGGTGTAGATTTGAAACCTGGTTTTATCCTGTTTGAACTTTTCTCGTTTTTCCTGTTATGATTAAGCTCTGATTGTCATCATGGTTTTAAAAACAATTCTGGACCCATTTTCATGTTTTCCAGGTTATCAACATGCAGTTTCTGATTTTGTATGTTTCAACCAAAACAAGTTTCAATTCGTGATGGATGTTAGTTGTATTAGTGTTTGACTGACTTAATCATTTGCTTATGCAAACAAATTGAATTTATTATGTGCAATTTTGCCCTTCATTGGTACATTGCTACATTGGTCTTCTGTTATTTGGCTGTTGCTTCCAAGCATTTGGATCTGTTCTTCTTTTTCCATTTTTCGCCTTTAATTTTTCCTCATATTTATGAAATGGAAATTCAGCTCTTTTGTTTCCAAGCTTTTTCTATCTGAGGGATCACGACTGTCATTTGTAGAGCAAAGCAAATCATGGGTTTTTTTAGATGTTGGAATTTTCAAATTGATTCTTCTGCCTTTGATATTTAGTTGAATTTGAATGCTCACTCTTTTTCACAAGTGATTTAGGGGTATATTATTGTTGGACGTCAATATGACGCATATGAGAATGCTATAATATCTCCAAGAGGTGATGCATTCAAGTCCTATTGGTTATTGAAAGAGGTCTTTGATTCAGTTGCGATATAATTGTGTGCATGTACTAGTTGATCAAAGCAGCTGTTAGTTTGACTTTGACTTTTAACTGGTTGTTTGGTACCCAGTTCGAGGTTCTATATGCACTCATTGAATGGGGTTTTTGTGTGAACCCTCTTGAGTCCTTTTGCAGGGGCTGTGGAAGAACTTGAATTTGGGTCTGCCTGTACTAATGTGATAAGGGTGGTGATGAATGGTAGTTACATTTGCAAATAGTTAGAATTTCGGAGATTGCTGCGCTCTGTTAGCCTGTTCTGTATAGACCTTACAATATGTGTGTGTGTAGAGTTCTGAGGAACTCCACCCTTGTTTTCCTTCTGTATTTGTTTGACTCGTGATGTATCTCCTCCTTGAGTAGTATATAGTGACTGCAAAATGCTTTTACTTGTAGGAAAAGACATGATGACTGATCAGCCACAATACCCAACTGTCAGCCAGAAGGTAGCTGGTATGCTCCTTCTTAGATCTAGCCCAGTTCAAGATTTTCGGGCTTATGAGGGAGGTTTTCAGCAGCCATCTCTGTACCAGAGGAAATTCCAACATGGAAATTATACTAATGCTGCATTGCAGTATTCCATGATGCAACCATCTCAAACTGGACGAGACCTCTCCATGTTTGCATCAAATGTATCGCCTGTTTTTGTCCAAGCCCCTTCAGAGAAAGGTTTGGCCGGCTTTGCCATTGATTTTCTAATGGGTGGAGTCTCTGCAGCTGTATCCAAAACAGCTGCCGCTCCAATTGAACGTGTGAAGCTTTTGATCCAGAACCAGGATGAAATGATCAAGAGTGGTAGGCTTTCTGAGCCATATAAAGGCATTGGTGATTGTTTTAGCCGAACAATTAAAGATGAAGGGTTTGTTTCATTGTGGAGAGGGAACACTGCCAATGTCATCCGTTACTTCCCAACTCAGGCTAGTTATTTCATTACTTTTTTCCACATGTAGTTTTTCTGATTTTATGGTTATTTTTCCTGCTATACTTTATGCTTTTATATTTCTTGAAATACTCACCAGGCTTTGAACTTCGCATTTAAAGATTACTTTAAGAGGCTTTTCAACTTCAAGAAAGACAGAGATGGTTACTGGAAATGGTTTGCTGGCAACCTGGCATCAGGAGGTGCTGCTGGTGCTTCTTCCCTTCTCTTTGTCTATTCCCTAGACTATGCCCGTACCCGTTTAGCAAACGATGCAAAGGCTGCGAAGAAGGGAGGCGGGAGGCAATTTAATGGTTTGATTGATGTCTACAGGAAGACATTAGCATCTGATGGTATTGCTGGGCTTTACCGTGGGTTCAATATTTCATGTGTTGGGATCATTGTTTATCGTGGTCTCTACTTTGGGATGTATGATTCCTTGAAGCCAGTGCTCCTTACTGGAAAGTTGCAGGTAAAGTTGCCTTGCTTTGATTGTCTTTTGATAGAAACTTGACAGTATGTAATTATTGGATGAACATGATGCATTCTTCCACTTCCAGGCATTTAGTGTCTCCTTCTAGATGAAATTTGATTACTTTTAATCATCACAGGAAATGTAGATGCATCCGCCTTTGTGTTATTGAACTAATGTGTACTGTAGTGTCAACCAGCACAAATAGTACATTTTTGTTGTTGTTTGTGTTGTCACCCATAATGGTTTTTTGGTCAAGTAAAAGTGTCATCAATCTGTACGGAGCTATTCCTGGTACTTTGACTTGGGTCACTATGGCTATATAGCCGTTCTCATTCTCACTGAGGCACTTTTTCTTCTTTCATTTGTTCTCATTCCCTATACTACATGAGAGTAAGGACTACTCTGGAACGGAGTAACTAGAAAGATAAGGAAGCATTGACAGGTGCTGCTCTTACGTGCATGGCTATGCTGTAAAACCATTCCTACTTGATATGCTAATTTCACAACTTTTCAAAGAAGATTCTTTTATAGATATTTATTAGAAGGGAACTGCGGAAGGGTGAAAACCATATGAATTTGATGAACACTCCATTTGCCATTCTTTTGTTGAGTTATTTTTTTTTATTCCATTCCTCAAGGCTTGTGAGAAGCTGAGGCTGTTGCACATATTTTCTCTTATTTCACATGGAGAACATTTGATGATTCATCTTCTGATTTATCCAACAGTTTCATCACCCTTGTTTTCTGTTTTCAATGATTTCAGGATAGTTTCTTTGCTAGCTTTGCCCTTGGTTGGGTCATCACCAATGGTGCTGGCCTTGCATCCTACCCAATTGACACTGTTCGCAGAAGAATGATGATGACCTCAGGTGAAGCAGTTAAGTACAAAAGTTCACTGGATGCATTCTCTCAGATCCTGAAGAACGAGGGTCCCAAGTCTCTCTTCAAGGGTGCTGGTGCAAACATTCTCCGTGCTGTTGCTGGTGCTGGTGTTCTTGCTGGTTATGATAAGCTGCAGATGATCGTTTTTGGAAAGAAGTATGGATCTGGTGGTGGTTAAATTTATGGTATTCTCATCCCATTGTCTCATCAGCTTCAGATGGTGATGAAAAACTTTTTGAGTTCTCAGATTTTATCGTGGTTTTGAATAATTCAGTTTTGAACAGGTGTTATTCCTGGACCATGTTTCTTTTCACTGATTTTTGATCTTGTAAACATGATAAATTAGAGCGGCTGCCAATGCAATCGCAACTCCTTGAGTTTCAGATAGACAAATGGAGGTATTTATTCCAGTTGATGCTTATTTTTTTTCCTAGTGTAATATGTTGAATGGTTCTGCAAGTTCATCCCTTCTACTTTTAACTGATAGCAGGCATAGCAAAATCTACACGTCCCATTCAGTTGTTTTTCCTAGGAAAAGGACCTTCAATCAGGCCAAGCTTGTCCTAAACCTTTCGGGTTGTCAGAGTATTTTTATGCCAAATTATGTTGGAGTTTAAGCCTGGTTTGAGTATTGAAATTTTTTAGGTCCGGGTGTAAATTTAAGCTTAGGTTCAATCCCGCCCATGAACATATACTTAGTTTCCTTGGCCTGGACACATCTGGCCTTCTTAATCTATTCATCAGTCCCCTGTAATGGGGTTTATATATTTTACCTTTCTTAACCCAGTGGAAAATCCTTTAAATTAGAAGTGACTGTAAAAGATTATCTGAAATCCTTATTGTGTTCTGCTTAATCTCTTCTGTTTATAGAACTGTTCAATCCTTATCTGATATGCATCTACAAACTTTGGTATGGCTCCTCATTTCGATTTCATGTTTGAGCTTATGTTAATTGGTTAGATAAGTTTTATGTTGAAGTTTTGGCCAATAACACTATTTTTTTTCTTACTTCAAGAGCCTATACATAATCTCCTTTGAATTTTTGACAGTGAAGAATGTAGGTTAGTTGACAAACGTGTGAAACCCTTTGATAGTTTTTAAGTAGTCTGACCCCCACCTAGTCACAAGAGAGAGAGAGAGAGAGAGAGCGAGAGATAATGCTGTAGCAAGCCCTCTGTATATTTCTGGAGTTGGTGGGGTTGTGTTGATTGGTGATTATTGATTGAGTGCTTACCGTTGCACCAAAACCCGTAGATGTTTGTAAAGGCGCTATTTTTTTTTTTTTTTAATAGCTCAACTAGTGTCCACAGGTCAGATTGGTTAAACCTTGCACCGAGTCACAGGGAGATTTGTTGCACCTCTACCTAGGCCAACAGTCTCCCTCCCAGCAACTACCGTCAGACTCAAACCTGTGACTTTGTTCTTATACTAATTGTTGGTTTGAAGTGTTTATCGTTACACCAAAACCTGCCAGTGTTAGTGAAGACGTAACTTTTTCTTTTTTAATTAGTTGAGTAACAAGTGTACCACAAGTCGAATTGGTTAAACCCTCCACGGAGTCTCGGGGAGGCTTACTGCACCTCTACTAGGCCAACAAAAATGACCGTTTATATTCTGGAAAGAGAGTGAGTTTCGGTTTTGTCATATGCTGTGGAGGAGAGATTCCCAGCTCATCTTTCTGCATTGCTGCAATGTAGAGAGAGAGAGACAGAGAGAGAGAGAGTATGATATGTCTAATGTTTCGCCCATAGTTGACATTGAACGAAGTTTTTAGCTGTGTACGTCAATAAGCTGTGTGTACATCAATGAGCTATGTCACTCGATGTGTGAATTTTATCTTTTGTAATGTGTTTGTTAATGCGCATTTTTAGCCGTTTTCCGGTGTTCTGTTTTCGTTTTTTTTTTTCCCTGCAGTGGTGCTTTTGATAAAAAAAAAATGGATTTTTTCCAATTTGAGTTTCATCTGGGTCTCTGTCGTCGGCGGGTTATTTTTCTAGATTAACTATCACCATCTAAATTCCTTCCAATTTAATTTTTTGCAGTTTTATGTGAAGATGAGAACAATTTATATGACCAAGTAAACCCAAAATAGAATTTTTTTTTTTTTTTGATTAACCCAAAATAGAATTCAGCCACGCCAAAAAAACATCCCTATACAGAGTTCAACCTCAGCACACAAACAATTGTTCACATTCTTTCTGATGCAACCTCCAGTAATCCCACAAGTCTCAGCAACATGGTGATTTTTAATTGTTCTACAACCTTCAACGCCATCTCTCAACCCACAATCCAAGCCAAACCAAGTCAACAATTTTTTTAATCAACTACTGACGTGACCCAACTCCTATTTTTTTTTTTTTTTTTTGGTTGAGAAAAAAATGGAGGTGGGGCAAAATAGTGCATCTTGACCACTTTGATAGGTCCTCACTAGTGGGATCATGAGACTCCTAACCATGCCCGTTACTCTTCTCATGAACGAATCTAGTTAGGCTAATTATAGCGGTCAACTACTGAGTCTCAATGTAAATTCTAAGACTTGAACCTCCAACTTAAGGATAAAAAGTTTGGCTGATACCCCACTCCGCGGTTGACCCAACTCCTATTCTGTAAGAGTGACCCAATAAATTTCAAAAATTATCAGAATTGGTTATGAAAACTGGTAAAACAATTGGCCACTGCAAGATTGTCGGAGACATTATAAGGTGGGATATACTTTTTTTGTTGGTTGATACTCAAGAAATAAAGTCTAGTTTCAAGGTCGCGATATTTATTAACTTAGCGGATGTTTAAACATATCGGTTGTAGAGACCCGAATTGGTATCAAATATTCCTAACAAAATGGTACATAGAGGAACAAGTGGATCGTGATCGGACTTTGAGGTCACATCAAGGTATCATGGAATAGTATTAACTGCTTCGGTTATGATAACTTTGAGTTGATTCAGATACATGTCAGACAATTCGGCGGAGTCACGTAAAACTCGTGATTTCCATATAATGTGCAATCATGTCGAATCAAAAAATATTGAGTCATATAAACTCGATTGAAAGATATTGATATTGACCGATACTTTGAACCATATAGATTTTAATCTCACTTGACCAACCCAAAAACTTGGAGAAGCCACTTTTGATTAGCCATCTCTTAACACAAAGATTTGTGAAAGATTATGAATATCATTCTTTTTTAATCTTTTGACCATCTTTGGGAAGTTCCATGCTGCATACATACAAATATAAAAATAGAGAGAGAGAGAGAGAGAGATCAATTCCTTGCTTGCAGATAAGGACTTGTGCGGTCCCATGGATCTCATGACACTACCATCTGCACTCAACCTACTGCAAGAAGCTTTATATCCGAAAGTAAAGAGCTTTTTGATGTTCATTGAATATATATGTAGTTAAATGGTCCATTCATATAAACAGAGGGAGTGTTTGGCTGTTTTTGTTGGTTTACCATTTATCATTCATATAAGTTCTGCACCACCCCATTGTTGTTCTAGATTGTAACCAAACAAGTCATAGCTAAACAATCACTGATGGTTTGGTAAAATTCTTTTTATCTGCCTGTTTGGTGTGGATTTCAAATGAGTTAGTCATTTCTAAAATACAATTTTAGGAAGCTACTTTAGGTTTGTTCATGACAAAACGAAATAGAAAAAGATTGAACATGTGAAATTATGTGATTTGGACGCAAAAATCTATGTCTAGGAATGAAATATCGCAATGAAAGTTTACTTGACGAATTCTCCCTCTCGATCTGATCAAAGGCATGTCATTTAAATCAAAATTAGAATATTCATGAAGAATAATTTTTTAAAAAAAAATTCTCAAGGGAACAACATCTCCACTTGCCTACGACTAACGAAATATATACTACTTTATTTTTTTTTAACATAAAATTATATACTACTCAAAACCCAAAGTTTGTCAATTGGATTAGATAGTAAAAAAAATTAATTTTCTATCCACCCAGTCCTCTATTCTATAATGTAATTTTACAAAATATCTAAAAGATAAAAAGAAAAAAAAAACAGATGATTGACTGCTACCCATAAAATGACAATAATACTCATAGATAATAATTACCATAACTTCCTCTTTCATCATCTTCTCATAAAATATCACTATGATCCTTCATTTTTTTCTAAATATTCACTTAAAACCACCTTTAATTTTTCTTTCACCATCTAAATTTATTTATTTCAATTGCTTCCTACTCTCATGTCTTTCCCTTCTGCCTATTTACTAGGAGAACAAGAAGCAATTCATGACAAGAAGTAATTGGGTTTGTTAAAGAGAGTGAACGCTCCTTGTTATTATCAAACATCCCGCCATTCAAAAAAGAATGGAGTAAGGGATGACCTTAAGGTAACTATCTATGTTTGATATAGAAATTTATATAGAATTTTTGAAAAATATTTTATTTCATAAGGATAAAAAAAAAAAGACTTATTATCTTTAAGATCTGATCTTACACTGCTGATAAATCAATAAAGAGACTGTTTGGTACTATAATTAGGTTGTTAGGTCCTAGATACACATATTAATCAATGTGAAAGTCATAACTTCTTGAGGTTTACTTGACCATCTATCCTTAATTCCTTTAGTTGGTATGGTAGGTAAGTCCACCCATGAAAATGATGAACCATGGTACTTTACAAATTTTTAATGTTTTATAATAGCCTACTACCTCAAATTTGTCAAATTAGTCAAAGGTTGCACAAAGATCCACCAATAACGGGAGGTTAGGTAATTTTGCTTTGATTTTGTAGAGGTTAATTTCTAAATTCGATCACACAACACAACATATCGATGTGATGATTAAGTAAATGTATTCACACAACACAACATATCGATGTGATGGTTAAACAAATGTATCATTTTTTGTTTAACTTCCAATCATTTTGAATTAACTTTAATTGAATATTTTTTCAATCGACTTATGAATTTCAAACATGTTTCTTTAATTGGTGATTAATTTTGGGATTCGAATTACATCATCATTGCACACCAATAAAAGAAAAACAAATGTCTATCACTGCATTGTTAGGTATTCAAGCTGTGATTAATAATAGTCCATTACAATACTCAACCTACTCCTACCAAATTTTTTTGTTTTTAAAGTCGGTTTGTGTTGGTGATCTATCTTCACCTATAGGCTGTATGCATTAACAGAGCCATACTCCACCAACAAATACAAATTTATGTAACCAGTCAGAGTATAGGATAGAAAAACCTTAGGTTACTGTCTTGTGAGTCAATGTTTGAGTCTTACAATAGATGCTGGTTGACTCTATACATGTGTTTTACAAGTAATTATACATATTTCAAATTTACAATTTAGTTATAAGCCTAAAAATGGTGCAATTTGTATTGTTCTGGATTATTAAGAAAATTGTGCAGGGTATCAGAGACTTATCTCTTATGATTATCTTAATCTCAGCGTGAATAATTGTTTTTCACCAGACTGGAGAAGAGATTAATTAAGGATAACAGTAGATCAAAAAAAAATAGATATTCGTCCAAATTCATCTCGTTTGGAGCGGAGATGGACTTTATGTATTTAATAGTGGACATATATGAAAATGTCCATATAAACCCGTGCAGGAATAGACTGAAACTCTACCCCGCCCTGCTTCGTTAAACCTGTAATATGTATATATGTATAAGTAAAACACACATTTGTTATATATATTATTTTTGTGAGTTTTAATGTTTGATATATTTGTTATATAATGAGTTTTATTTTTTTTTAAATTATAAAAATTAATTATTATAGACGAAATTAGTGACAGGAATGAGGATTAAATTTTTTTTTTTTAAGAAAAATGAATAAAAAATAAATAAATATTTTTAAAACGGACACGGGGTGGATACTACTCTTTCTCCCGTTCTAGGGTGTTGAAAAAAGAAGAGTAGCCATGCCAAGAAAGGAACAACACTGCGAGACAGGGTCTTTACGGCGCGACAAAGGCGTAATATTGCTCTGTATATCTTTTTCAGCCTTTCTCTCTGCGTACGAACAAAGCCGTCTACATGGCAAAACAGTAACGGTACGCTTTTATAGCTGACACTTGTTACTCATTCTTGCCCTTTGATTCTCGACAAATTGACGGTCCAGATTACAGGTGATTGATGGGTTTTACTTTTTCTGTAATTAGTTTACTCTTTGACCACCATGTGCTTTCTAATTCGAGTAGTGTATGTATCTTAAATTTATATTTCAAGTTATGGAGAATTATTAGATCAGTGGGTCCCATTAACTTTTTTAAATGTAACGAATTGATTCAATGATCCTCCTTGATTTGGATATAAATTTGAGTTATAAATTTGGGATATATATTATTACTCTTCTAATTCTCTATCGTCCATTAATTGGTAAGATGGATAAAAATTCGAATTTATTTCGTTTAATTTTTGAATTTTAACTTTCATAGTTATAGTAGTACGATGTGGGATTTTAACTTTGACCTTGACATAGGTCAAATAATATTTTTTATAGATAATTGTGTGGTGCTGAGAGAATAATTTTTTTTTAAGAATATATTGAATGATCTATTTACGTATCTATTTATATACCAAAAAATATATATTTCCACTCTACTAACCGACGAAACTAGAATTCTAAATTATCATGTGTGTTAGTGTCTTGATCAGAATTTATCTAATTAGGAGTGTTAATGAAATATATTTTTCGTTTTTGAGTTAAAAAAAGAAAATATAGGCAAGCACACAAACAATGATTTGATTGGACGAAAATTAATTGAGGTACGTGTAAATTGGTTCAGACATTCTTAACGATTGGAAAAAAAAAATGACACAAATCCACTAGTATCTTAATTAGTAGTTATAAAAGAGGGAAAAACCACAAATAAAAAACACTCACACCCAACCAAAATAACTCTCTTTCAAGTGGGTGGGTATATGTAGTTTATCACTTCAACTAGACTGTTAATAGGTTGTATAGTATTTATGTTATTTCAAAATTTTATTTATAGCATACCGGGTCATTTATATTCATGCATAATTGGGTTGGGTGAGTGTTAAATTTGTACCACATAAAAGTTGCATTTAATAGGTTCATGTCATGTTAATTCAATTTTGTATCGATCCATTTATTTGATGAGTTTAATATATTCTCCTATTTTATCATGCCCTTTATTTAGATCGCACCCATTTTATCATTTGGGTGCACTAAAATTGAACCCAAAACTGATTATTTCTTTGTTGTTGAGAAAAAAAAAAAGAAAAGGTGGGAATAAGAAAGAGCACACAACAACCAACCCGTTAGGTCCTCATCGGAGAGATCATAAGACATCTGATAATACTTGGAACACTTTTTGGGACTAAACTTAGTTAGACTAACATAACGGCCAACTATCAAACCCTAATAGAAACTCTAGGACTCGAACTTTTAATTTCTAGGTGAGAAGTAAAACCGATACTACCACTAGATCAACCTACTCTATGATTAAATTGATGATTTCTTATTATCAGGGTTTTGTATCAAGTTTGTGTTAATATTTTTTTTTTTTGTTCAACAATAAAAAATGTCTAAAATTAACATTCCTAACTGCGATGGGAAGTGAGGGAGATAGAGAGAGAGTTGAAAAACATGGTGGTTGATCTCCTCAACGGTTAAGTCAAGTTTTCATTAATTAACCTTATCTTTCCATTAAATGGGGTCGGATTAGATGTTTTTGGAGACCAAACATTTTAGATATGTGGGGACCAACCCATCCAACGTCCGGGTAATGCTGAGAATCCACAGAGTTTGCTGTGCTAAAAAATGATCCCGATCCTTAATTTTCATTTGACTGATTATTAACGATGGATTAAAAAATAATAAAAAAATATATCCGTGACGTGTTATTATTTAAAAAACGACGATACCAAACCCAAAAAAAAAAAAAAAAAATCCATAAAATAACACTTTATTACAATAATTAATTTAATATTTATGATCATAATTATTTTTAAAGTCACGAGTTTAATTCTCGTCCGATCGAAATAGTGTTGGACTCCCAATATACATACACTTTTTTACTAGTGGTTGGGTTACAGAGAAGGTGGAGCTGTACGGCAAAGAGCCAAAGAGTATTGTTCATAGAGACAGAGACAGGTTTCTGGGAATGCGGCTCCGTCGCAGATCTCACCGGCGGTGAAATCGGCTTTTTTTACTTCCCCACATGCCATTTTGCCTAATCCGGCCCATCCCTTTCTTTCCGACAAGTGTGAACCCTCACTACCTCTCATTTTTCTACTCTTCTTCGTCTTTTACTTTGTCACCTTATGAATTTAATGAGTAATTTTTTATTTATCAAATTATTTATGGTCATTGGATCATTGATAAAACCAATTAATTTAACAATTATAAGTGATTTAATATAAATTTTAATGCATATAACATTGTTTGAATTTAATTTATCAATTGCTCTTTTTTTTTTTCACCTTATACTAAAATTTATTACTATTAGAGGTCAAGTTGCACATAATAAAGAAAAAATTATAACTGATTGAGATTGTTTATAATTAATCATTGAAATGTCGGGATCGATCATAATTTATCTTAATTAATTATACTTTTTAATTTTTCAAGGTGTAACTCTAACATTTAATAATATGATTTGATTAATTAATAGTTATATTTTTATGATCAATTATAATATTTTAAAATCAATCACAATTCTTGTGTATTATAATTTAAACGATTTTGAATTATTATTTAGACTCTTTTAAATATTAATTTTCACTTTTAAATGTTATAACTTTGATAGGTCCGTAATGTCAATTTGTCATTCTCCGCACACCTCCCTCTAACAAAAACTTAACACAGGTAACTTGGTCTCAAAAGTTATATAAAATACCAGTTATTCCTCTTGAATGAAAACACCAAGTAAAAAAAAAAAAAATTAACAATAAATATATTTATATTCACACTAAAAATTAAATTATAAAGATAAATGAGACAAAAAAGAATTTTAGCACTGATAATAATGGGGGCAAGCAATGATAGTGGTAGTGGATGACAGTGATAATAGTGATAGATGGCGATGGTTGTGATGAATGATAACGATCAGTTTATGATAATGACAGTTGTGAGTGGCATTGGTGATGGTGGTTATTATGAAAAAAATGGTGGTGGGGTGGCAACAATGGTGGTGGTGATGGTGGAGGTGGTGGTGGTAGGGTGTCGATAACTGTGGTAATGGTGGTGGTGGGATAGTTTCAAACATTTTTTTTTTTAAAGTACATATAAGAAGTTATGAGTTTCATAACTATTTTTAAAAAATTATCTTAAACACACTCGCAGGAGTCTATTTCTCTATTAAATTTAGGGTATTAATATTAATCGTCAGATAGGGGATAGGAGATATCAACTGTAAAAAAATAAAAATTATTTTATTTATCTTTTGACATTTAAATTGAATTATATTTTATTATATAGATGTATTTACAATTATAATTTTCTAGAAATTGATTACCTACATTTAATATTATATACTTTAAGGATTAAAAATGTATTTAAAAAAAAAATCCAAATCCCCAATAGTCCTTGTGTATAAACCATCTCTTGTGGATTGTAGATGAGGATGGCGTGTCTCTGAAGTACGGCATGTTGCGCCAACTGCAAGAGAGACAGAAACCGTGATGGTCATGGCTAGAGAGAGAAACACCACGGTGGATTGAGGGAGAGAGAGAGAGAAAGAGACAGAGATATAAAGTGCGTACGGGACATATGGACAGAGTGAGAGAGAAAGATCGAAGAAAACGCTCATTCTGTCTCGCATTTTCCAGTCCGTTTCTCTGAGCTTCAACTCCTGCTCAAATCTCATCAATGTCCGTTCTATCTCTCTCAAACTACATATATATCTTTGTTTTTGTTTTTTATTTCTTCATATTATTGTTTAAATCCTTATTTTCTGTATCAGTTTGGAATATAAATAATCAGAAGATTCACTGAAACTTTTCTCTTTTTTTTTTCCCTAAATATATTAAAAAAAAATATTTGGACGAATGTGGGTGCAATGGGACCATTAACGGCCTTTTTAGCCCTAAATTCGATCAGTTAGTGGTTGATTTCTGTATTATCAGATGGAAAGTAGTAAAAATTGTAGTAATTTTTCTGCTGAAATTGCTTTTTTTACTGATATATTTTTTCCTTCTTGTAGTTATAACATCCTAGATGTTCTGCATTTGATCTTTGATTTTCGTGGTGGTATTAGCTTCTCGATAATCGCTGGGAGTTATAAGGGAATTTACATTGTTGCTGAATTAATTTACAGGATTTTCACTATCTGAGAAGTTCTATGAATTCTGTTTTACAGGATTTTCACAGTTTATATAATTTTCATTAGATAAAAAGTATTTTACTAAACTGTATAATGTTTTTTGTGTTTTCTTCAAAATTTGCATTTTATAATTGTACTGTTTATGAGTGCAGATTGGTTTGCATATTTGAGTCAGAATAGCTGCTCAGAATGAATATGAATCATCGGCAAATGGAGATGCATTACATAAATACTGGATTTCCGTACACTGTTACCGAGAGTTTTATGGATTTCTTTGAAGGTCTTACACATGTACCTGCTCATTATCCTTATATCGCACCTATGCATGATCAGGTAATTTTATGTGCTACAATATACTTGTTTTATGTTCATATTCGAATCGGTGACCTCCACTCTCTCAAGGTGGGGTTAACCATCTTCGGATAGTCTCGGTGAGTCTTTGTTTTATGTTTATGAGATTAATATGTGAGAAATAAATATAGTAGTATGATTGCAGCAATGATTAAATTGAAGGTTGGCACACACGAGCTGCTCATGAAAGTCGAAAGAGGTTAATGGGAAATGTTGCTTTGATAAGCTTTTTTCCCCAAGTAAATTTTCATTAAATTGGAGAAAGAAATAATTTCTTATGTATGTGGATTGTGGATAGTAATGCCTAAGAAAAAGGCATACATCGAAGAAATCATGATTTTTGGTGGAATGATTGAAGCAATTGTAATTTATTCACACTATTGATGATATAATTAACTCTCGTGAATGTATGTCCAACTTGTTTGTGTCTTTAAACACCAGCCACCGTTTAGGCATATCATTGGGCTATCTGCAATCCTAAAATAGTATGCAAAAGCAGAAGTTTGTTACATTTGATGATAAAAGTACTGTTTTGATGCTTTGTTCCAGGAAACTGCATATTGGTCAATGAATATGAATTCGTACAAATTCGGATTACCTGGTCCAGGAAGTACATCTTATTATGGTCTTTACGAGATAAATGACTATTTACCAAGGATGGATTTCAGCAGGAGGGCTTGGGAATATCCTTCTATGGCGAACATCGAAGAACCTATCACCATAGATGTACAGTCAGGAGGGAGTGCATCCTCGAGTATGCACGCCATCCCTGAAGAATGTATGTTCCCTTACTGTTTTGATGTATAATTCCAGTCAAGACTGAAGATTATGACATTGGCCTAACACTTGGTCAAGTAAATTTTGAAGGAAATGGATTGCTTACATTGTTCTTATATTCATGAATTTCCATGTTCAATATTACATTTGTTTTGGGCTTCCCCTTTTTAACACGCCAACAACACAATGCTTTTCATTAGGTCTTAATACTAGAACTCTTGACACAGTGGAATTGTTTCAGTTGTGATATCCTTAATTAGGGCTGCATATTAACCAAATTGTTCATGGATAGCTCAGGATCATCTTGGATTAAAGCTTCTTCAAATTCGTCCATTTATAAAACATACTAAACTCAAGCTCAATTTTGAAGCTCGTTTTTTGAACTACTTAAGGTTGAACAATGGCTTGTTCTACTCCTCTAGGCTTGTAAACATATAAAATATATATAAGCCAGTCATAAGATGATCCTAAACTTGGGGTATAGCTCGAACGCCAGCTAAAGCTTAGTTGGTCTAATTAAACGAACTAAGCTCAAGTTTGCAAAACAAATTAAAGCTTATCTTGAAAAAAATTTTGAAGCTTGCCGTGATCTCAAGCCCTCTTTGAAAATTAACAAGCCAATCATGAACTGTCTAGTACATGGCAAAAAAGCAAAGTACTTGGCTCAGTTCAGTTGATTTGTGACCCCACCTATGATTCATAGCTTTTTTCTGTTTCATAATTTTTTCTTGCGCAATTTTATAGGATTCTGTATATCTAAGATGTAATAATTGATCTTTTTGTATTCCACTGCTGATTCCCTAAACTTGCAGGCAGTCCAAATCATCCAAATCATCAGGAAGCAGCTAGCCCTCAGGTATGAGACTTTCTTGTTAATATAGTGCTTAATGTTTGTTGAACAATTTTTAGACAAAAGATTATGCATGTAAATAAACTAACATCTTTATCTGGCAACCACCTTTGACTTGAAAAGATCAAGTAAATGGTTTTTAACAATTTTATAAATTATTTTTGCTTCTTGAGGACAATTTTATGGGTCACATCAAGTTATTGGTTGAGGACAATTTTATGGGTCTAGATTTCATTGCTGCTTGACTTTGGGATCTCTTTTGCTTCTACACTTTGATTGCAATCAGATAAATCAATGAATGGATAAATCTACTTCTTGTGCAGTGTGCATATGAGAAACTAATTGCATCTTTCTTTTTGCTTACTTATCGCTGCAGGTCATTTGGCAAGACAACATCGATCCTGATAACATGACCTATGAGGTTTGCTACCCATGGTTTACATCTGTTTTCATTCATGAGCCAAGTAAAAGTTTTCACGTTAAAAGTGATGTGAATATTATGACCATAGTGAGGGCAGCAGTGATCCATTATTGGGGTTTTATGGATTAAATAAGCGAAGGGTTGGTAGGAACACTTTTTTACACAAGAGATGTGATAAAGCAACATGTGTTTGCTATGTGCTTGATAAAGCAAGCCTTCTCTATGACCATTGACCATAGAGAAGGCTTCCCTGTTGTTGTTGAACTTAAATCGATAGTCACATCACTTACTCACTGTGTGTGAAAGAGGTTTCAGAAATGTAGGCAAAGCTGATGGTGCCAATTCTCTTAAATTTACTTGGCGCGCCAAATTTTGTTGTCTACTGAATTTGAGTTTGTTGCTCTGCAAAACTACACCTCACTTAACTGTAGCGCAAGACAAATGTCCATGTTTCTTCATGAACTAATTACAAATACATATTGGTTGCAAATTTCAGAAGGTCTTTTAAGGCAGGGAAAGCCATTTGTAGCTATGCAGAATCCACTGAGCGAATTGTCGCCAGTTAATTGTAGTATGATATTGAGTTTGTTCCGATTGCATCTGTTATGTTGTTGTGTGTGTATTAACTACCATCCGTGAGGCCAAATTCCTGTGCTATTAGCCATTAGGCAAATAATTATGTTATGTGAGAATGATTATTCACTTGGTTAGGTGACTATTACAAGATGGTGCAAGGGATAATACAAGGGCCTCATGTTACATTCGTTTCATCTCTGTCATTAATGCAATGGTATGTGTGCACAAGTGTCTCCATTTCATGCAAAAGACGTGATAAAAGTTGAAAAAAATGTGGTTTCGGTGGTCAATATATGGGGTGAAAATCCATCGGAGGGGTTTTAGTTCCACTTCAGAATTCATAAGTTTTGTGGAAATGAATGATCATGTGAACCTTGAGACTAAACCATGATTCAAGGTCATGGTATTGGCCATTGGTCTCAACATTGTAGCGTCGCAAAACGTATTTGACGATATGTTATGAGTTGTTAACGATGACTCTGATGACAGAGACATCTCCAAGGCTACAACGAGAACAATTTGGGAACGGAGAGTAACATGTCAATGGCCGAGTATCGAACCATGGTTTTAACAAGTTAACTGAGAAAATTACATCATTTAAGAACTTAATGTTTTCGATATTTGTTTAGTCAAAAAAAATTGCTTTTTCTCAGATGCTGTGTTGAATTTGGTTTTACTCCTCCAGGAATTACTTGATTTGGGCGAGGCAGTTGGAACTCAAAGTCGTGGTCTTTCCCAAGATCTAATTGATTTGCTTCCAACTTCAAAATACAAGTCTGGTGGCTTTTTCTCAAGGAAAAGATCTGGGGAGAGGTGATATTTTAATAAGATGCTTTTAATCCTTAAGCTATAATGATTTTCTCCATTTTTTACCTGGATTCATAGCTCTAAGTCCTTTCTTTTGTCCATCTCGTTTTGTGTCTTTCTAATGATATTTCGGAAGTGCATTCTCTTTTTGAACAATTTGGAGTATGGCATACCATCTCTATGGCTTATCAAAGAAGTGACATGTGTTTCCTTCATCTACTCGGTACTTGGGTTACTCGTAGGGGATTTATCTGTAGTAACAAGCCTGAGAAAGCAACAGCTTCTAGGCATATAAAGAACTTTCAAACCAGCCTAGGTGGAACTGGTACGTAACTGGCAGCAAGCAAGCTAAAGCTACCTTGATCTGCAAGAACCATATTCATAGCAATCTTAAGAGATTTCCCCAAGAAAGCCCCCTCAATCTGAATAGGAGATCCTCATCAAAATACTCTATGGGGAGTTCCGGTAGATGGACTCAAACGGGAATCTTAAAGATAGTATCCATAGAATACCTTCTTATGCAGAAAATCTTATGTTGTCTGATTGTTTTCTCGTCTTGTTTCTATGGATTTATATCAATATGGAATTTCCTTATTATGCCTTATCTCTCTCACTACGGTAATTATGCTGCTATAAACTGTCAAATCTCTGAGATTGCATTATGAGTGTTGGTGAAATGGCGGGATCACTAAAACATGTAGCAATATTATTGAGATCTGATTAAATTCTGATAAAATGTTTTCTTTGTGGGTTTTGATGAAATAAAACAAAGCACGATTTTGATCATTGTTTGCTTGTTACCCAAAATGTCCAGTCTTCCAGAGCATGTTCTTTCATAATATTCATGTTATGGTGCTAATCGAATGTTTCATTAAGATAATAGATGGCCAAATGTATCTTGCTTCAAGAAATTTTCCTTCCTTTTAGTCATTCAAGCTGTTAGCGTGTATAGCAAAACTGTGTGGATTAATACAGCAGTCTTTGTTTTTTTCCATGATCTGTATTTTCATGGTTGCAGGTAGGTAGTGGTATTTATTTATTTTATTTTATTCCAATGAGAAGTGGGCAAAGATGTGTCACTTGAATTGTGTGATATTGGTCAATATGACACTAGCAAAAGCCCTGACCCTCATATTCTTATCCATTGTCATATTTATTTAGTTGAAGGTTCTCATGTATTCCCTTTTTTGCATCCAGGTGTGTGATATGCCAAATGAGATATAAAAGAGGGGACCGACAAATAAATTTGCCTTGCAAGCACGTCTATCATACTGATTGTGGATCTAAATGGCTCAGCATTAACAAGGTAATCCAACACCTTTGTCGTATCAAAATTTATCATGATATGCATACGTTTTGTGTAATGCTTCTCTCAGCTGATCCTGCTCTATTTTCATCAGACATGTCCGGTTTGCAACACTGAAGTATTTGTCGATGAATCAAGGGAATAGGATGACATCAAAATGGTGAATATAGAATTACGAATTCAGATGGTTCTTTGCTTCACAACGGGTTGTTTCCCATCTCTTTCTTTTTCTCAAATATCAAAAAAGACTTCTGCATTCGCAGAGGTAGTCCTGAGACTGAAGCTGTTCCTTATTTCATCTTACACGTTTTGTTTTGTAGAAGAACACCATCTTAGGTTTTTATAGAAAGTATAGATTGCAAGTATCCAATCTGGTTCTTCTGGAGAGGGTTGAGAGTATGTAATTGTTTTAGCTTTTACTCCTATTCTGATGTTCATATGTTCCTTTTGAAATTGTGCTCTATAGCTCCACAGCTCGTTGAATTCGATTAGTCGATTGCTCTTAGAGTTCCTGATATACCCTAGTGAAGGAAAATGAAGAAAGACTATGAGCCTGTGACCATGAATCATCATCCTGCAGTTTATGAATTATATTTTACCTGCATGTGGATTCGGTTACATTCTTGATCCTTCCTTTTACTAGTCTTCGGCTGGAATCATAAATGGGTTGTCTCCTCTCTGATGATCTCTTCTATGGGTTACTGTAAGTGGTTTAAACTTCGACCCTTATTTCTTCCAATTCCCTCGCAAACTTTGACTCCTTTGTGATGTTGGACTAAAGGTAAGATATGCCTGACTAAAGGTTCAACTTAAAAGGACTATAGCACATAGAGGGCCAACCATGGAACCATCACTGGCGCACATATGCTAAGTAAACTGTTTCTTAGACCTCATTCTTCTACTTTTCTTTTTCTTAAACTAGGGAGTGAAAACTGTGAGTTTTTATGTTGTGAGGTGTTTGAGGTTAGCGGTTAGCCTAATGGCCACTGCTGCGACTGTTGAAATTTAAGATCGTGAGTTCGAATCTTGTTGTCTCTTCCCTATAATAGTGTCTAATTAAGGCTGAAAATTTAATTATGAGATTGTGAGTTTTGAGCCTCATTAACTGAGGTATTTTTTTGGATCTATATTAGGTTCCTTTTCGATGCCAATTTCGAAAGCATGAATCATTTTATCGGATTAGGTTTTTTTCAATTAAAAAAAATATTAGACTTCAAAGGCGTCACTTACCTTAGTGAAGTCTTTATACGAGTGTATTACAATACTAAATTGGTTGTATAGGTTAAAAATTAGGTGCATGTAGCATTGTTCATTATAGGTTAAGATTGAATAACGAATGCATTCAATCAGGAGGAAAAACGTGATTTTATTTGACCAATTTTTTCTACCAACAAACTGACGTGGGACGATTGATAACCGTTGAATGTTTAGTATTAGACTAATATTAGGGTAATGTTATTTGAATTTAATTTAACATAATTTGTTGACCTAATTAATCACGATTAGTGAATTAGTTGTAGGTAGAGGTGACAAATGTGTGAGTTGGGTTAAATTAGATTTATTTTTCACTCACGTAGTAAATGGGTTATAATAAGTTGAGTTTATAATGGGTTGGATTAAACCGATTAACCCATAAAATAATTAAAATTCTTAATAGACATATTAATACACCAAAACACACACAAACTAATACACTAAAAATATACACACTAATACATTAAAAATACACACATATATTAACACAAAAACTAAAACACATTTAATAAAAAAAAATATACACATAATGAGTAGGGGTCGATTGTGGGCTATGGGTTGGTCCGTGTGTCGTGTGTCGTGGGTCGATTCGTGGGTCATGAGTGGTGTACCAATGTGTGTGTGTGTGTGTGTTTTTGGTGTACTAGTGTGTGTATGTTTTGACGTATTAGTATATATGTGTGTATTTTTTGGTAGAATAGTATATATATTTTTTGGTATATTAATATATTTATTTAATTTTATTACTTGTATTATTTAATAAAAAGATAAATATTCAATTCAATTGGTACCCATTTATAATCCATATTAATTCGCTTAATTAAAAAGAATTATATAACTCAACCCATTTAGAACTCATAATGCTCAACCCATTTATTTATGGGCGGGTTAGACAGATTAATAGGTTAAGATTATCATCTCTAGTTGTAGGTCCCAAGAAATATTAGAATTCACTGTTAATCCAATAATTTTAAATAATTAAGTCAGCAAATGTAGATAAATTAGGTTCAAGTTTAATGTGGTGCAAAGATAGATCCGTTAAACTAGGTAAAAGAATGTGACAAATTAAACACGTTAAACATAATTTATTTACTTACGATATGAAATCAACAATCATTGGATCGGCAATTCAATAAGAGTCGTGGTGCATGTGTGGGTGGATTAAGATTATAGTCCCCTTAGCAAGTCGCCCACGCAATTCAACTCAGATCCATGTTAGTAATATGCAAATCTGCACCCATTAATTAGTAATGATATTAAATAAGCAGCAAATAAGAAAATCCCAACGGTCGAAAAATAATAAAATATGACCCCCCTCTCCAACGGTTCTCTCTTCACTGTCTCAGCTCTCTCTCTCTCTCTCTCTCTCTCTCGCTGAACCTCAATCGCAAACTCACTATCTCCCATATCTGTCTCTTTATCAAAGATTAGCTCTATCGATTTCAGGCCTCAGTTCTCTCTCTCTCTCTCTCTCTCTCTCGGAGATGGAGGTCGCCATTATCGATTGGAAAACCATAAACTCCAGTTTCGTGAAAGACGATCTCTACGAGAACATCAATGCTCCTCGGTGGGTCGATTTCGAAGCTCCCCAAGAATCTGTAGATGATGAAGCTTGGTTCTGTAGGCCTGGTAAAGACAGATACACACACACACACACACACATACATTACATATATAGCCCAATTTAGAGGGGAATTCTTGGATGGGGTCTGAGAATTTAGTACTTTTTATTACTGCAGATTGTAACCATCCGAAGACGGTTGAAGATTTTCACAAAGAACTGCCCAATTCAAAGGTTCACTCAATTCCAAGTTTTCTTGATTTCCTCTAATAATTCTTGTTTGGTTTGCAAGAAAATATAGGAAAGACGTAACCACGTTTTCAATTTCAATCTCAGATTTTCAACACTGGAGAAAATTATAACCCAAGATATCAGAACAATTTGACATGGAGAACCATGAAAACATCAATGCCTAGAGTTCAAGACTCATTTTTTCCCTCTTATATTTGACTATTTTTTTTCAATATATTTCTGTTCTTTTTGGTTTTTTTTGTTTTATGAAAAACAAAAAAAAAACTCTGCTCAAATATCAAATTTCTTGATCTTTGTGTATCTTTATATCGTTTGATTTAAAAAAAAAATTGTTCTAAATGAACACAACCATTCTTGATCAAGTTTCCAGTCTCAAAGTTTCAAAATTAATGACTAATCTACTAATTTTTAAATACAATTATCAAACTACGACACTTTTGAACTTATTTATCAAACTATGACACTTTATAAATTTTGGAATTGTTGCTCCGCCTTTGCTTTTGGTCAACATCCCTTCTTTTGTTAAAAAGTGGGGTCAACGGATGTTGACCCTGTTTTTTCTGTCATAGTTCGATAAGTAAGTTCATTCTATAATACACTTTTGAATTGTGAGGTACCAGTACGAACTCAATATATGCAAGTGTTATTCCGTAAAATAACTCGAATTAATTTGATAATTTTATTTCAAAACTGCCATAGATTAGTACTTAATTCCAAGTTTTCAATATGTTGATCCTGGGAAAAGATAACTTCCACCGAACAGAGGCAACCATAAAGCTATCAGTAATGCTACACTGACCATCTTGCTTCATAATACCAAAAACACATTAATCATACAATTCACCATTTAATTATTCTCCCCTTTTCCTGAACTTTCTCTGCTGCCAAACATATAGTTAACTTTTTTAATTTTGTAATGGTATCATTTTCTTGATTATCATTTTGTGTTTTGTGTAGCATCAGAGACCTGCTACTGTGTCTGAGATTCTTCCATTGAGTGATCCAAATACAAGGTAAACATAAAGAAACTTAGATCTAAACTATGAAATTAAACTTAATATTTGCCTATATGACCCCAATTTTCCTATCCAGAGATGCTGCATTGAAGAAAAGAGGGTTCACTCAAACTTCATTTTCATCAAAGAAAGATTCAAGACATGATACAGTACTCGAAGATAGCGAGAATCAAAACCCAAATTTCTCAACGCCACCAAACCGCAAAGCTAATAAATTCATAAAAGAAGCTTTCGATTCAAGTATAGAGAAGAGAGGGGTAGATGATTCGTTACACAAGGAAGAGGCGCCGAGGCTGAAAAGTACACTATCAGCACGAAATTTGTTTGCAGGGAGGGATATACTGAATCAGATAACAGAATTTTGTAATGAGTTGAAGAGATTGGCGACAAGGGGAAAGGATCGAGGGAATGTGAAGAGCCCGGAAATAATGCAGAAACACAAGGCGAAGGACCAATTAGGTGAAAGATTGAGGGATTTGAATGAGAGAGAGGAAAGGAAGCCATTGCTAGTGGTGAGAAAAGAGAAATGTGGAGCAATGGAGAATAGTAATGTCAAGGAGAAGCAGAAACAGGAGGTGAAGGATCGTTTAGGTGAGAATTTGAGTGATTTGGATAATAGGGAGGAGAGGAAGCCGTTGCTAGAGGCGAGTAAAGAGAAATGTGAGACAGTGGAGAAAAGCAATGCCAAGCAGAAGCTGAGGAGGAAGAAGTGAGTCTCTCTTTGAATGCTCAGTAAATTACATGCATGCAAACTTCGATAAATTACACAAAATCTCAAAGGACTGTTTCGATAGATGATCATACACCTGATATTTACTTTCTCTCCATGAGCAATGAAATCGTTGGTCACGGTCTCCAGTTTGATTTATTTTAGATACAGAGACTTCACATTTAAAATTGCATAAAAAAAACTATTTATCTCTGAGAGGTCAATTCAGGGAAAAGTCTTTTTTTTACAAGGTACGACTTGAAATTCCTATTTATTTGTTACGAAATCGAGCATAGATCAATTTCCCCTTTTATTTGGGAATATTGAATACACACCCAAATCTGAGCTGCATGTTACGAGAACTCGATCTAATGTGTCTTGCAACTACCGGAGCAAAGTCAATGAGTTGTTGTTCTTTACATGAACATTTTACTCTGCTTTCACCAGAAGAGCCAAGGAGTTGGGCTAATGGGTTCACTTCGATCACTTGACACGCCAGAGTCAAACTATTGGATATCACAGAACCATTTTCACTCAATTCAAATCGGAAAAGTCGTTGAATTTTTGAATTTGGGGGGATGCTAGATGAGTTTGATCTATTTACTATATTTGGTCAAAGATTAATGCATAGTTTCACTGTGCAGAAGAGATGATGAAGCAGAGAACACCCCAATCTATGTGGACTTGAAGAACATAAAGGGTAAAGGGCATGCAAGCTTGTCCCAAATTCGGACTTGTCCTCCTTCACCTCAATGTTTTTCAGCCATCCGTGACCCCGCCAAAGCCA